TAATGACAGACACTAGACATAAGAGACAAATGCACAAGCAATAGTGGGATAATAATCTGGCAAACACTGTGCCATTTAATATTAAGATGGAGAAGGAAGCGCAGTGAATCTCAGCAGAGATGTGCATTGTTGCCTGAGGCCATCAGCCCACCCCAGGCTCCAGAGTGACCCAAAACGAGGGTGTCCTCCAACCCTGCCCTGCCTGGCTTCACCTGGGAAATGAGCAGATCCTGGATGTTGAGTGCAGATTAGCGTTTTGTGAAATGACCCTTTGCTTTCTGGTGGTGTTTACAGGTGTCTGAGTACCTGAAAGTCCTGATTTAGATGGGCTGGCTCTGCCTGCACCCAGCATGCCCCGTGGGAGACATATATGCTGCACGCACTCATATGGCTCTGAGCGTGCAGATCACCTCCTTCGGAGCACTTCTGTGCTCCCGTGTTATGAGTGGTCCAGAAATCTGTCCCAGAGATGGTCTTGATAACAAAGGGCTGGGTAAGCCCAAAGCTATATGTGTACTGCAACTTGGGCGACTCACTCATTGCCTATAATTGTAAATAAGGTAAGTTCACACGACGATCGAGTAACGAGGGAACAAGAGGCCTATTTTAATCAGGTGGTTATCTCTCCTTGGTGGAGATCAGAGCTCCATCGCTCCTGGCCTTCTCATTGTGTCCCCCCTGCTGGAAATGACAGCTCCTTCAGAAATAAGCAACTTGGTCCCTGGATGGGATTTCAGCTCTTTTGCACTACACATGTACCAATTGTCATTTTACAGCTACAGCGAAACCTCTAAATTATATAAGTGTATAAACTCGGCCTCATTAAATCCCCCCTTTTGGATAGCCTCAAGGTTGGAGAGTATATTACTGTAAGCCAGAGGAGACTTAAATTATATCCAAATGGGGATTGAAACGTAGTGGTACTTAGGCACACTCCTTGTCTCAGCTACAGAGGTTTCATTTTTCCCCTTTCGAGTGTTATAATATTACAAACGCAACTGTTTCCGTATGTCAAATCAAACGATCTGAAATCCTATTTCTTGATTCAGCCTACGGGTCCCTTTGTGGTGGGGACAAAAACACAAAGATATGATCAAACACCGCAGTCTGACCAAAGAGAAATTTATCGTTCATCTGAGAGAGCTTCCTAATTTGAAGCTGAAGCCCTCCCCTTCCCGAACGCATGGGGACATGCTGGGGAAGTTGTTTGCTCGCGTGCGTGCCCGTGTGCACGGCTAAACGGGGGTGTGCAGGGCAGGGTCACCCCACGGCTTAGAGCACACCCTGCCTGCGGGCTGATCCTTCCAATCAAGCCGATTAAAAAAAATAATGAAAGGCTTGAGTGGGAAATCTGTGCCCACAGGGCTGCCTTGTGTCCTCTGGCCCTGCCTGGGGGTACAGCTGGGGCCGGGGGGGCTCTGCCTGGGCCCCCCCCGGGGGCATCTGCTTGGGACCCCCCCAGCTTGGCGCTGCCAGCTCTGCCTGGTGGCACCGCGGGGGGCTCCTGCAGAGCCTCTGTCGAAGTCCCCCGAAGTTGGGGCCGCCGGGAGGGGGTCGCTGCTCCCCCCCCTCCTTTCGCAGCCCTCGCAGGAGGGTCAGTGGTTTAACCAGGCGTCACCAGGACTTCGTTTTATCCCCGGCCCACTGAAGCGTGTGGCTTCCAGTGACTGATGGCCGCTGTGCTGCACAGTTGCTCTCACGGTGCGTGCTCCAGATGGGCACGGCCCGGAGGCTTGGGGGGAGCAGGGGGGGCACCGCTTTGGAAGGGCCACCGGGGTTTGTTCTGGGTCCTCCCCCCCAGGCCAGAACCCCAAAGTTGGGCAACTTCTTTAGTGGTGTGGGGCGGGGGAGAGCGGTGCTGTCCCCCCGTCACCCCCCGTCCCCCGGCGCAGGCAGCACGTTCCCAAACTCCAAAATGCCAAATCACGTTACTGCTGCGGCAGGAGGCTGCTTGCGGATCCGTGACAGCTGAGTTTTTCCTATCGATTATGTGACACTGCAGTTCATTTACACGGCTCCAAAGCTTAAAGACACGGGAGGAGCCCCCCGGTTTAACCCGAAATCCTAACAGAAAGCGGATCAACTTTCTGGCCGCTGTTTAAACTGATAGATCGGGACTTAATTCGGAGAGACAGAAAGGGAGAGAAACGACAGCACGGATTTATCTTGCCGGCCGTCTTTGGTGCAACTTTAGAAACTGCGGCGTTGCAAACGGGGGGCCGAGATGCTAACGAGCAGCAGCAGCGAGTTCAGCTCCTGGTTTTCGTATCGATTTTAGGAAAGGGGTCCCGGCTCCGGGCTCCCCTCGCGGGTGCGCGCCCCGAGGGCGCGGCTGCGTGCGGCTGCTCGGGGCCTTTCGGGCTCGTCCCAGCACCGGGGAGGGGGTCTTTTGCCAACCCCCCCGGGGACGGCAGCGGTCCCAATGTACTGCCGGGGCCTTCCCCTGCCTCTTCGAGCCGGGGGCTTTGCAAACGCCGGTCCCGCTCCTCCCTCCCCCTGCCCTCGCCGAGGTTTCACTCCTTGCTGTTGGTGCCTGGAAACAATAAAGGATGTCGGGCTGGGCTTTTATTGATTATTTGTCACCCCGTATTTGTCAGTTTCAATAACTTTTCCTGAAGTTTTACTCACGGGCACTTGAGCTTTCGGATTAGGCCAGCTCTGCGGATTGCAGCGAGGGGTAATTATCCGCCGGCCTGCTTCCCCGCCGCCGGGCTGCGCAGCCCGAGAGAAAAGAGCATTACCGGGGAGGGGACGAGCAGGATCCGGCCCGAGCCCCCCCAAAGCGCTGCCCGGGCCCGAGGCGGTTGCAGCCGCCCCCCCGCCGCCCCTATCCGCGGCTGCGCTCGTTCCACGAAGGGAGCCGGAGCCCCCATCCCTCCTCCCCTGCCCCAAGTTTTGGAGGCCGGGACATCGCCTCCCTCGGGGGGAGGAATGGGAGGGTTGGACCCGAGGAGCTGGGGCCCGAGCCGCGGCTCTCGGCAGCCGCCGCATCCCCGGGATTCGGTGGAGGGATGCGACACCGGGACTTCGCCGTGCGGGGAGCCGGGAACCGGCCCGGAGGCGGCGGGGCTGCGGCACCTGCCCTGGGGTGGTGGTGGGGGACGAGATCTGAGTCTGTGGGGGGTGGGCTCGGACCCTCCTGGAGGGGAGGGAAAGCCCCGCTCCCCGGCCCGCCTCCTCCTCTCGGCACTGGGCGACGGGTCCCGAGCGCTGAGCGCGGCCCCGTGCGCGCTCCGGCCTCGGGTGAGGGCTGGAGGCAGCCGGGAGCAGCCGTCCCGAGGGCTGGCAGCGTGCTCGCCCCGGCATGTGGGGTGCCCGGAGTACCCCATGGCATCCCACCGCAAACCAAGAGGCGAGTGAGCACGGAGCGGCCGGGTCCCCGGGATTTAATTACAGCGGAATGCATTCTCCATGCTGATTAGGAGGAAAATCAATCGGGGGCTTATTTGGCACAAGGAACCAATAAAACGCACGCACGCACACACGCACAATTTATTAGAGCAATAATCTCAGCCCCAAATGGCCTAAATATTATTGTTTCAGTTGCAGTGAGGGAATAAGTGTTATACAGAGAGCATCAGGGAGTCCTTTCCCAGGAATTCAGAAAGAGTTTTGAGCCTCTTGCCTGGCACTGGCTTGCCAGCTCAGAAACCTTTGAAATAGTGGGTTGCTTTCCCCCATTTCAGGTCCAGGTGTCTGGACTGCTGTAGTACCTACAGGACGAGCAGCTCTGTGGTCCACAGCTGTTTGTGCCAAGAGGCAAACATGGTACAGAGCTTCTCACTTGCTCTTCCAGATTTCCTGCTTTCCAGTGATTTATATGTGAAATTCCTAGAAGAGCGGAGGCCACACAAAAGATCCCCAAGCCACGGGCCGTGCTAAATGCCTTGCTGGGAAAAGACAGTTTGTGCCAAAAATTCTCTGCTAGGGATGGGGCAGGAAAGCATCCCCGCAGGAGGGTGCTGAGCCCTGAGGCCGGGCTGGAGTGCGTGGGGAGGCCGGGGGGCAGCGGTGCCCCCCTGCTTCCCCTCTGCCAGGCGACATCGCTGCCTTGTTCTCTGCCAGAGCTGCAGCTCCCAGGAGGTCTCTCAGGAGTTGGGGGATGCTCGGGGGGCATGCAGAGGGCCAGGTCATGCCAGGAACTGTGGGGTCGCTGAGAGCTTCAAGTGTGTGACTCAGGAGATTCTGGGTTTGCATTGCAGCTTTCTGTAACCCCAGTCATCTCCGTCCCGAACCGGAGAGGACCTCATTTCCTGCTCAGAGCTCTGCCAACCACAAGGTCTTTTAATAAGGCTGCCAGGGGTGCCGGGCTGCGGGAAGGACAGTCAGTGTTTGTCACCAGGGAATGAGCTGGCATCATAGCTCTCATCTGAGTCAACAACCTGGCTAGCCCTGAGCATGACTTCATAAATCATGGCATCTAATTGAAAAGCACATACTTATATACACAGGGCTGTTCAAAAAGAATGAAAAAAAAAAAAAAAGTAACAAACACTTCTGTTTTCCCCACTAGCCTGTTCATCAGTCACCTGATTGTTTCAACTTACTTTATTTCACGCAGAAAAAAAAAAGAAAAAGAAAACATAAAACCATCTTGTATAGCCACAATAAAAGCACAAATGAAAAAATTCATCTCTTAATGAGAGGCTTAGCCTTTTTCTAACACAACCCTAATAATAGGAAAACAATCTTTAAGTGTTTTTAATTTAAATTGTTTTCACGGTTAATTCAAAATCACTGAATAATATTATCACGTGTCTATGTATCTATTTGGCATTGAGGCATATGATATTTCAAAGCAATTGAACTACTTTTGAAAGCAAAAAGAGTCCTTTACAATTCATGTATTCGCTTTTTGGAAGTTGTTTAGTACACATATGCCGGCCTTCCTTTTTCTCCTCCTTCCAGTTGAAATGAAAAGTTAAATCTGCGATGAAAGATTGGTTACATGCGTTCTGCTTTTCACACACAAATCTCCTGCTTTATTTTTTCACCCACAGGAGCTGAGGGATATCCTCGTGTCAGAGACATCTCCGCAGCCCTGGCCCTTCTGCCATCTCACCCGGGAGTGCAGAAGCCGAGAAGGAGCGTAGGGCAGTGGCTGAGCAGCAGCTGAATATTCAGATTTCACTCTTCAAGCAACCAGAGACACTTCAAAACCACGCGTGAGACAAAATGACGTTAAAATTTCAATCCTTAAACCTCTGTTTAGTCGTACTCCAGAAGTGAGCAGTTCATAGCAGACCGGGATTTCTGATTGACACTTTGCCATCAGAAGCCCTCGAGTAGGATTTCTCCAGCTATAACACAGCTATAACACTGGGCTCTGCTCCCTTTCGGAAGATGCTATTTCGCGAATAGAAGCATGGGAGAAATTTGCATAAAAGCTTCATATATAATACATGATTGCTTGGAAATTAAGAAGCAGCAGTTTTTCCCTTATTGTTTTTGGAATAAAGGGTGCGCTTTGTTTTCTTGTTTACTTAGTGTGCTCTCTGATCCCTTGATGTGTTTCAAGAGTTTTCTGTCAGCATCATGAGACCTTGCTTACCTGGTAAATTTTAAGTGTGAAATGATTAGTGTTCAAAGTGCCTGAAAAATACAACAGTAACAATGTCTGACAACTTTTTTTTTCCTTCTCTTGTTAAATAATATTTCATGGTACATTAAATGGGTTGTGCAGCCTCTTCTGAAGAGACCAAAGCAACGCATTGCCACATGCTTAATGTTTTCATCAAGTAGCAGTTCTTAAAAGGGAAAGAGCTGAAGGCAACCTGCAATCCTTCCCTGAGCCTTTTCTTGGTTTGTTCTGAATTCAATTAGAAATGGTACTAATTTGGGGACATATATGGAAAGAAAATAAATATTATTTCACAATAAACCTCTTAGTGTGTCATTTGCAATCACAGGCAGATACTAGAAATGCTACTCGTTAAATCCACTGAACGTTACTTTTCCAGAAGTCGAAATGTTTTCAGCCAAATTGATTTCTTGACAGTAGCTTTGGATGCAATAGCTAGAGCCAGAGCAGCCCAAGGAGAGAAGCAAACAATTAAAACATTTACGTATTTGATTCTTGATAGACATCTCCACAAGGTAGGTTTTAACATTTTTTTTTTCTTCTCTCTTTTTTTTTTTTTTTTTTTTTTCAGTAAAGAAGGATAAGCTTGGAGTGCCCAGTCACCGTGGTAACTGCCAGAAAAATTCTCCTGAAGTTTGAAGAGGTCAGCTAACGGGGTCAACAACTCTGGCCTCTTTCTGAGCTGGGGCTGGCAGGCTCCATCCTGCGGCTGGGGTGTTAGCGCAGGCTGAGCCCTGGGAGGTGGACCATTCCAGCTCTGATATAAATTTTTTGAGTCAGTTCACGGCCTGGACTCTCCAGGTGGCCTCCAAAATCGATTGTGACCTTGTGACCCTGTCTAACGGAGGCATAGCATCCACCCTAAGTAAGGATTTAGCCAGGAACGACAGCTTTCCACTGAGTGTTATTGGGGACAGTACAAACAGTTTTGGAAGCAAGGAGGTAGGTATGAGGAGTTGAGGTCATTAAAGGCATATTAAAAAACAATTTTAAAAATCCTTGTTAGTGGAAAGTTTTTATTAGCATTATTCCTTAAATAAACTGTTCTGGCAAGGACCCTTTTTATCTTCCCTAACAATATCATATCAAGTATTTCAGCACATTAACATATGAAAAATTGGCACTTTCTATATTCCAAACCGAACTAATATTTTGTCTACCTCTGGATTTTGAACTTGTAAATGAAGCTGGCAGACATGTGATAAAATAGACTTCTGTGAAGCATGTTTTTTTCCTTAATACCATAGAAACCAGGAGACTGCTTATTAAAGCGGGTTGTTTATTTTAGGAAGTAACTTCTCTGATATATGTGTTCTTTTTAGATTCAAGAAGCTCTTTATTGATGTCATTTTATTATTAAACTGGGAAATGAAGTCACATTCGGAATAGCACAGAATGAAAGTATGAATCTCACAGGGTGCTTCCCTCACTGGTTTGTAATACACACAGACAAGCCATAGATTTGGTTACATGTTTTTGTAGAAGAAAACTGTCATCATACTAAGATCATATTTATAGAAAAAAAATATTTTTCCCTTAAGATTTTAAGCAACAAACCATTGGGGTGAGGCAGGGACAGGGGGAAGCTGCTGCAGAGGTCTGATTTTGTTAAAAAAAATAAATCTATAAGCATGCCCTTCCGAGCAAGCAGCCTTGTTATTGTGCTCCCAGTTAACACTGTCCGGGTTCATTACCACTTCTACAAAACCTCAGCTCTGCACACACTGCTCACATGAGTAATCAGTCGTCATCAGGTGAGTAAGTGGAACTACATGGAGGAGCAAAGTCCACTTTCCAAGGTGGAAAATGCTCTCGAACTTTGAGTGACTTTAAAACTGCTCTGAAGGAAGAAAATTGCATTAATGTTTGTTCCCAGTCTTGGAAAAATTACACAAACTTATCCCAGCGGGAATCTTGCCCAAACACTTCTTGTGCCTCGCAGGAGAGAGCCTGGCTCTGACGTCCTTCTTCCCATCACTCACCTGCGGAGCAGTTCCCCTCGGGTCAGAGGGCTTGTGCAGAGATGGGGCTATTAAATACGACTCAGAACGAGAGCCTGAGCCCTCTCCACACTAAATAACATGGTACCGCTGAGAAGTCCCATTCGTTACAACAGCAAGAGTCCCTGGCTTTTACTTGTGGTAAAACCTTGCTCTGCAGAAAGCCCCCAGAACCAGCGGATGCCTGTTGGCCAAGGTCCTGCCTCTTCTAGGGCTGGCGTAATCTGCCCAGTGGGATTATCTGAAGAGCAGGAGTTAAATTACCACAAATAAGAAAGGGGGCAGAACTGTGCTCTAAAATATTCTGGGGCCCAGACATGCACGTGCAGGTATCAGTGGCAACACTCTATTTAATTCCTTCCTAAATACTAACTCTAGTTTGTTGCTGTTGATTTTTAATAGAACTATGCTGAAAACAATTTACTCACATCAGCGGGAGTGTTGATTCAGGGGAGTGCCTTGTATGACTAAGCTTGGCAAGACAGAGCTCACAGTCCTCAGAGAGGACCAGCATATTTGCTCAGTTTTCAGAAAAAGCATTTAAAAACAGGAATTGTGAGCAGCTGCAAGGTGAATACAAATCTGCAGAATTTTTAACATATTTTTTTTTTTTTTTAATATTCATACCTCTTTTGTAATGAGGGCATAAAGTTCCCCAATTCTACCTGAAAAATGGGATTGCTTCTAAAACAGATGGTACAACCACCACATTGAAACTTCTGGACCAAAATTGCCCCGAACTTTCCCAAAAGCCTCATGCTTGGAACAAGGAATCATTGGCAGAGAGAATGACAAGGAGTCTCAGGATCTTTTACTTTCTGCAAAATCTTTTGAGGTGATTTCTGTTGATCCTATTGAATTGATAATCCACTGAAAACCTACAAATGTCACTTGAAACAGGTCCTGGGTTTGTGTCTTTTGTAACTCTTTGCCTTTTTCTGTTGATCATCTCTAGTACAACTGGGATGTGGAGGACATTAGCAGCAGCTGCAGCAGGACTGCTGGTCTTCCTCAGCCCTTCCAGCTCCATGAAGTGCTCGCTCCAAATCATTTGATTCCATGACATATTTTCTGAAGTGCAGGCTGCTTCAGTTTTGGCAGAATGATATACATGAATGGGCTTAATACAGCATTAGAGATGAACAGTCAGAATCACCAAGGGTGCTGGACTGGTGGTTCCCAGCCTCTATCATATGGATCACTGATAATCCATGGGGCCTTGGGAAGTTTGCTGCAGGTGGTCTGTGGAACTGTATTAAATAATAACGTTCATAGTCTTCAATTAAAATTTTGATGAGAAGAGTGTGTGGCAGTCTGCACTCAAGTCTGAGAACTGAGAGCGATCTGCCAGCCTAAAAGGTCTGAGGATGTCTGCTTTGCATGAATGTGTCTCAGCCTGTGGTCCATCAGGCATTAGAAAGTATTTTGAGAATGCTTTCAAATTAAATACATGTGCAGTAAATGAACATGCCTTCTCACTCATGCAAGCGAGCAAGCAAAAGAAAACAACAGCAAGGAAAAAAAAAAAAAAGGACTTCAAAACAAAACGAAGAAAATAAAGGTAATAAATTAACACTGACGCCTCAGCCTAGTTTGTGTTTGTTTGTATCTGAAAACCACATTTCCAGCGCTGCACAGAGCGGAGAGCAGGGCTCTGGCAAGCATCGCCTTGCCACGGCCTGGAGCGGGGCTGCTGAGGGTCTGCGCTAGCTGGAGGAAGCGGCGAGGGCAAGCGGGCACTCGGGACTTGCAGGTGCGCTGCCAGAAGGGCCCGAACAAGTGCCGCATTTCCTTCGCCTTTTACTTTCCTCGCCGCGTTAAGTGTGTGCGCGGCTGGCAAGCAGAGGAAAAGTCAAACTAATTCTGATGCTTTTCCCTATTCTGGGTGGACTAAGTCAGAGAAAGCACTTACGGCAGCCTTTGTGGAAGGGTTACAATGTAGGTTGATACTTTAGGAGCTATAGGAAGTTCTTAATCCTTCACTGCCTACGGGACTGTCATTTATAGACCTGCCATTGTCTCATCTTTTATAAGGATGCTTCCTTACATTAAGGTTCCAAGAGCAACCGGACTTGGCCATTGTTCACAGCTATTTCAGCGAGTGCCTTAATGCACATCTAATATTTTGTTTATGCTTTCACTGCTCTCCTACGCAGCAGACTGTACCTTCACACTGGTTTAGGTGACATCATTGACAAAACATTCATTCCAGTGTTTTTTTTTTTTTTTTTTTTTCTCATTTATTTATTTTTTTCTTTTTTCTTCCTGATTTGTCTGTACATCTTGATTTTGCATTAACCTTGTTTGTTACAGGTAACATGTGGAACTTTATGCATTTAGTTGCTCATTTTGTGTTCAGTTCTCAGTTGAAGGAAAGCCACACAAACACACTTCCTTCTTATAAAAAAGCTTCCACGTGTTAAATTTCCACCAGGTCAAATTCATTACATGTGTATTATCTAAATTAAAGTATCTCTTACCATATAACAAGAATGAATTTGGCCATGAGCAGACAAAATGGAAGCAGGGATTATTTTGGTTGTATAAAATGTAGCTTGATGTTAGTGGTGGTTTAATTACAGGATTTTTTTATTGCTATTCATACAGACAACTGCTGTTTTCCCCTTTGATTTATCTCCAGATCAGCCCCGTTCAGCACCCCATTTCTGGCAGTCTCAGCAACACGTGGGGTCTGGCAGGCTTCTGCAGACATTTCCATCCTCCCTGCACTGCTCCTTCCTCTGCCCTGTCGCAGCAGCCCCGCAGCCTGGTGTTTCTCAGAATCCCTCAGTGATGCCTTTCCTCTCTAATCTGCTCCATGGCTGCTCCAGAATCCCATGCTTTTGTCAAAGTTTTTTAAACAGTTCTAGAAATAGAGGCTGAAATACAGGTGGGTGATCTGGTGACCGGGTGGTGTTCTGCCACTGCCTTCCTGACCTGCCTTGGGTAAATCAGACCTCCTCTAGAGCTCATCTCTGTATCCATAAAATAATAACAATAATTTTTCAGAGTGCTTTTATATTCCTAAAAAAAAAATTGATGTAAATCAAAAGCTACCTAGATTTTGTCAAACACAACTCTGTCTAACACTCCCCACCTTTTCCTTTGCTGTCTTACCTGCTGAGGCTTTGTGATTAGCCTTACAGAGTCAAGGTTTTTTTCGTGTCCTGCATAAAGTGACATTTGGGCTTTTAAATTACCTTTGTGTGTACAACATATGTAGCATATGTGCTGATATATATATATATATTTTTTTTTTTTTTTCACATGCGTTCTTGCTTTGCTGAACCCCCCCTGAACAAACTACACCCAGGCTGGTGCCACACAGCCACCAAGTGCCTGGTCACCTTTGTGTGCTGCAGGCAGCGTGAGGCTTTAGCATGGCCATCGGTGGGGCAGCGCATGTCGAAATACGTGATGTGGTCCTTCCTGACCCCGAGTTACACCTCGCTTAGCAGTCCCTCTTGCTGTTTAGTTGCTCTTGTAGTTTCCAGTTATGTAACACATCTCGCTTTGTGAATATGTGAATTTAACAGCTGTCATTGTCAGCAGTGGTGGTGTGGTTTCTTTTTTTTTTTTTTTTTTTTTTTGGCAAGCTGGCATTACTCATCAGTCTCATGGTAGTTTTGTTTGAAAAATGCTTGTGTTAGAAAAAGTGGATTTATCAGCTCAGCACTGTATGGTGCTAGCATGCAGCACAACAAAAGACAAGTGCTCATTTCAGTAACGCTTGCAGCATTTCATGGGGCCCCCAAATAGGCTGAACAAGGCTTCTCTGGCAGCTAAACCCAAGTACAGTGGGAAACTGTTAAAGTGGCAGTGTCACTGCCTGGAAAATGGGTTCTGTTTTCTCCCATCAGTTATTGCTGCTTTCTGTTTTTCTCTTTTTTTTTTTTTTTTTTAATTTGTTTGTTATGTTTTTAAAGACTATTTACTGCTTTAGGAGTTTCACTGAATGTTTGAGAAAAAAGAGAGCTAAATGAAAGCGTCGTGCTCTTAGAAATGATTTTTTCTTACCATTTCTTGGAGCACAGACCAAACAGTTTGTTATTCTCAAAGTGGTTCTGTCATACGGGAAAAAAAGATACTTGCGGCTTTTTCAAGTAATACTATAAAGTCGGTCATGTTGCAGCCCTTCAAGGAGATCTCTTTCCCTGTGTGCATCAGTTTATTTTCAGAATGATTTGCTGCACTTACAATTTCTTTCAGAACTGCTCTTCCAGAATGCAAATTCAACCTGGAGAGTTTTCTGTATTTAATTGAATGTGTCAGGTGGTTAAAACCATGTTTTAAAAACAGTATTACATACTGCAAATGTGTCAAACCCTTTGTTCATAGATATTTAAAACAAATGCATTTTTCAGTATTTGTTTATTCTCTCTGTTTGCACTCCATACAGATGGTGAAGATAAACTAGTGGGTTTCATTTTGGCTTATAAATTGTCTTGTACATTTTCAGGCAAGATGTTACAAAGCCTGTGTGACAAACATCAGAGGGAAATACTTTTTAGACATGTTTGCCACTAGATGTATCATAAGATTCATGAAAGGTTCAGTTTTATAAAATGTAAATTCTGGACCAATTGTTTCTCCAAAAGACTTCACAACCTCCGTAGCTTCATAGTTAATCTGCTACCCCGTTCTCATCAGGTGTCCAACAGGAGTCAGAGCTGGATAGAACACATATTTTACAGATCTATGAATATTACATACATTTTTAACTTTGACAGCTTTTGTTTGCTAAAATGTGGTTGTTTACCACAACTTGTGCCCAGACAAATGTATCTAAGCACGGACACTTTTAAGACTGCACAAAAGGCAACTGCATCCGCCCCTGGAGGCACACAACCAGGACGGTGTTGCTGTGCGTTCACCTCCCACACGTGCTCGTGCTCCAGATGATGCTGGACTGTGTGGCTGGACCAGGCGCACACAATTCCCATCTCATCCTGTCCACGGCAGAAAGAGGCAGCTGCGGTGAGCTGCCTGCTGTCTGAGAACAGAGGTCTGAGCTCTCGGCTGCTAGACAGCCTACAACACCTCAGGCAGAGGCACACTGACCTTGCCATAAATGCGTGTTGGCATCACACTGTGCCAGCGCACACTGACCCCTTGGTTTCCACACCTGGTATGGCAGCAACCACACAGCAGACACTGCTGCATACCAAAGCTGGATGTGATTAACCTGTCAGGGTTCACGCGTGTCCAAGGCCAGCACTGCTGGGGCTGGTGAGATGTTTGTGTTTCAGTACCCAGGAAGCTTGGTGTCTCTTGGGGTGCTTCTCAACTCCTGTGCACAAATTGGAGACCCTTGGTCCTTGGCCAGACCAGACACAAATAACACACCAAAGTGATGCTTCAAGGAGGCAAGGAAGATGTTCAGGGCTTCCTCCTCCCTTGAATGGAGTAAATCTGAAAGCCACATAGAGGCAGCCAGTGCAGGCTGGGGGCACAGCTTCATTTAAGACCTGCTTTCCTGATACCCCCATGCCCTCTTCTTGCTACCCACATCTGCTTGCAGACTGCCCAGGGCTGCTGGTGAATGACATCTTCTTTGTGATCACTGTGCCCACATGGCTGTAGCTCATCCCCTGGTATTTGGGCACTAAGGCCAGGTACACTGCAGGACCCCACTGTGAGAGTGTCACCAAGGTGTCTGACCAGGAAGGCCAAGAAAAGGTGACGTGTGACTGTGAAGATGGGGATGGCTGTTTCGGTACAAAACATGTGGGAAATGTTTCTCCCACACCTACCGCAGCCAAGCCGCGGTCGTTGACTTGAGTGACAGAGGAATGGGAGACTGGGATGTCTCAGCACAAGCCCCCCTAAGCCTTGGCTTGCAGGGTGAGGTCTTGAACACAGCCAGAGCCTGTTACATTAAAGGCTTTGTAAAAGCAACAGTGCCAGGCTAACATCTACCTCCCACGTTAGCAGCAGCCCCGGCAGGTGTAACGCGATCTGGGCAGCCCAAGCCAGTGAGTAAACAAACGGCCGCTTTCTGCACAAGCTGCACCAAATAACCTCTCCCAGCAGGGAATTAGGGTGGATACTGGTGCTAAGTGAGCTGTGCTGCTATGGAAAGGTCTGTGACGATAGAGAGTGTTGTGGGACTCTTAATTCTCCTTATTCCACACAGGTTTTAACCTCTACACCCCATATGGGTTAGGGGAAAACTGTAGGGAAAAACTCTCCTAATAGGCCTGTGAAGTTTGGTGGGATTGAGCCTGATCCAGCTCATTGAGCTTTTGTGGGGATCTTCTGCTGCTTGGTTTCCCTAAGCTAAAGAAAGCAATCGCACTGCTTCAACACTGCCAATCCAGACAGTGGCATTTCATGTTGCCTTCAAGAGCTGCTTCCTCACTCTTCCGCTGGAATCCATCTCCAGTGAACAACACCAGCCAAAGGGCTTCCTTCTTCACTACAACACCGGTCACTTTTTCCTCCTTCAACGTCAGCATTTAAGCCTCCCAGCTGCGGTGCATCCCCCCTCCCTACACAGCCGAGGTAAACAAGGTGCATCTGTGGGCCTGGCAGGGCTCTTGCAGCCTGTGGGTGCACCACACCAAGGTTGTGGCTGGGCAGCAGAGGCACAGTGGCAGCGCTGCCCAGCCTGGTCCCATCCTGTCCCAGGCCTCCCCCCGGCCTCCCTGCCCATGCTCTGGCTCCTCACGAGTTATGATAACATGTAAGTAGCTTAGAGAATTCTTATCGGAACGAGTTGAACACAATGCGACGTTTAACTCTTAATGACAGCCACCTCTGACTGTGAGTGGCATATTATAAATTATGTTTGAACTGGATTTTTTTTTTTTCAGAGGCAGATATTCCCCCTGCCACCCAGCCAGTCCTGCGAAGTTGCACTTGTGGCCTTAATCCCACTTGGATGTGTGCCCCGCTGCCTCCACTCTCCGTCACTTGGGTACTTTAGTATTCTTGAACAAGTGAACAATCTTTGTTTCTGTACCTTATTAGGCCAAAGACCATAGCAGCTAGCGATGGCATCAGCAGGCCCTGCAGGCAGGATTCTCTGCAGACACAGCCAACCTCCAACAAACCCCTTTTTATCCTCCTGTTTCTAGGAAGAATTATGATGGTGGTGCCCTGCTGTTGATCAGTCAAATCTGTGGTAGGCCTAGAGATAAGTCCTGTAAGTGTGGTGTACTGTAAAACAGCGGCTCCCATTCATTAGTAGCTTGTGTGTAATAAACCACCAAAAGGAGGGGGATGGGGCGGGAGAGGGGAAGAGCAGCTGCAGTGTGCAGGAACAAACAACACAACTCATTCTTGGGAGCCAAAACTTTCTAATTTGCTGCTGGGCTGCTGGGAGCACTCAAATTCTTTCTGATAATGCGCTCGTGCCCTCGGTGTCTCTCCCCGCATTTCCCGAGTCCTGCTCTCCAGAGGTCCCCCAGTCTGGGACAGCTTCACTCCCAACCAAAACTATAGACGCTGTTGCACAGGGAGGAGGAGGGGAACACAGCAACCTCCCAGTGTTTGCAGACTCCGGCGCAGCAAAGTGGTGGACCCGAGACAAGTCGTCCTGCCTGGGAATGGCCGTTGCACGTATCTGCTTGTGCAGTGGGTAAACAAAGCATCACATGGGCTGCAGAGCAAGCACGAGACGCGTCGCAAACCCATACGTATCTGAGGCATGCAGGAGGGCTAGAATGTTGTTATCGATATAGAGACTGGTGGAATAATTAGGAACTTTTATCTCCCAAAGTGCAGAAACAAACAAACAAAACAAAACAACAGAAAAACAAAAACAAACACCCTCAAATCTATAATAGTTGAAAAATTATTTGGCTTAATTTCTAGTTTTTCTTTTTCTTTTTTTTTTTTTTATTTTATTTTTTTTCCCCACAAGTTTCAGTAAATATTTACATGAGCATAATATTTCCCCATTGCCCTGTATTGGAAACCGCTCGTAGGCATGTGCATTTAAATGGCATTTACTAAGTATAATGTAACATACTGCATCTGTTGAGACCTCAGTGGTTACTAATGCTTGCACAGCTGTGAATATGTTGGTGCTTTAAGAGCTTAGCCTTGGACCTGACTGCGTGTAGTCCATTTTAGACCAGAAATTAAAATTACTGCGTGTTGCAGAACTGCCCTCATAGAACAAGTCTTTGTGCTAAAGCTTGTACGTTCACAAGAAAGGAAAATTAATTTTACAGAGATGCGGCTCTGAAGGACCATTATACACTTGCAGATCACAGTGACTGCTTTTTTCACAGTGATGTGCCAGGCTGTGATGGTGCTTGGACTGCCTCCTAACATTTCTATAGACAAGAGATACTTAAATGGCACATCCAGGCTTGGGCCAAACTGCAAGCACTCTTTATGCAGACATGAGGTTTTCCACTCTCTTGCAGGAGATCTTGCTTGCTTTCCCTTCCCTGACCTCCTGGGGACTGGTGCCCTGTGCTGCCTGAGTCTTTACCTCTGCAATGAGAGGTGCTTCTCCAGGCTGTTCTTGGTTGTGGTACCCAGTGGGTGGAGGGAATAAAATCCCTGAGGATCCCAAGTGTGTATCCACCAAATGGTGTTAGCTAGACATGGGCACAGAACTGTTCTCACATCTCTTAAAAGTTTACATAGTGAAGGAACTGAAACTGGCTACTTACCTGAACATGGCTAGCGCAGGGTTCAGCCCTCCCTCCGCTTATACAACATTTTGGCATTTTTTTAAATAGTCTTTTGGCATTTTGAGTTTCCTTCCCCCGACTTTGATTGATAGATAGATAGATAGGTCAGTCAGTAGGTAGGTAGGTACGTATATATTTTTATAATCAAAATTGTGTCCTGACTTTTCAAAGAAAATGAGGAAGGTAACATGCCTGGTAATTGCCTTGTGTCCTTACCACATAAGCATATGGGTTTGTAGCAGAGAACCAGCCATTGGAAAACTCCAGCACTGGTCTTTGTGTATTTCATGTGCAATAATGTTATATATTGCACACTGATTATCAAGATCAGAGCATTCCTTTAACTGACATGTTCTCTTGACAGCAGGCACCACACAACAGTTACCTGTCTGTGATAAAGTTATCAGCAAAATGTTTGAAATTATAAATAGGACCATAAATTGAGTGAATGTGCTGGGTAGCTATGAAACCATGGAGGGACTTTTTTTTATTATTATTATTATTTTTTTTCTAAAGGTTCTAGCCCCATCTCCAGCACAAGAGAAGTGGTGTAGCCCTTCCTTTTGTGGCCAGAGCTGCAAAACAGCCCCACAGCCAGAGCACTCGCACGAGGAGCCATTAGACAAGACAGACATTGGGAAAAGCTATAAATAGTAAATAACCTGCCTGCAAAAATACCTCGAATCATTAGAAATGGATGTTTTGTGAGTTTCCTTGGAATCAGTTATTGCCTTTATATTTTTATAGTGTTCTGCTAGAAGGGCTATTTTCTAACTATTGTTTGACAGAGGTAAACATCAGTAACCTGGCTCACTTCTTACACTTGAGAAACTGAAAAAAGCTGAGTAAGTTCTGAGGTTTTCATATCTACCCAGCTGAAGCCTGGGGTAAATTGATTGTTTCATATCGAACTGAGGCAAAATATGCCTTAGTGATATTTTAAGCAAAGCAATTTAATCATTTTGGGATGAAAACTGTCTTCTTTGGTGTTATTAAATCACTCAACCCAGTTTTCTTTAAAAAGAGATGCATGGATCAATGATATTCATCCATTAGCTGAATCCAAACTATTATAAAAAACTCTCCTTTTAGAAAGAATATTATTTGTGAAAGGATGACGACTGCCGGCTTGTTTTGCAGTACTCCTGAGCTGGACAAAATGTAAAAATAAGAAGGCTGATCAGACTGCAATACTTTTAGTTCTTTGCAGGGAGCTCTACCTGATGCTATGTAATTAAGAATGACTCCTAAAGGAAGATTTAACTGTTTCATGTAGAGAAATTAAATTTCTGATGTATTGTTTTAAATAGATGGAAACTTAGAACTGAGGCTTGCAAGTAAAATAAAGTATGCTTGTAAGAAGCTGTTTGCTAATACCTGTGAAAGAGGGACTACATGTTACTGTGATTCTTTTGTTGCTGTTTTTGATAACTTGCACAGTATGAAAACTTTTGGGGGCAGTAACTCACATTCTGTTCTGCCTTCTCAATCTACACAAGCAACTCTGGCAGTGAAGGGGCTGCTCTGGGCAGCAGGATGCAACCCTCAGCCCCGTCTTTCCACAGGCGTCTGGCACCCCAAAACCCCTGGCAGCCCCACAGCTGCACATCCCATATGGGTCCAGTCGCACATGTGGCCACTGGTCCCAGAAATCCCCATGGCCCTAATATCCCTTGGCCCATGTGAAGCTGTGCAAGGAGAATAAAGTTTGTTGTAAATGTGAATTTAATGTGTTTTCAGACTTGACAGCCTCTTTTAAATGAAAACATTTAAGTTGAGCGAAAGGCACATTTGCCTCTCCAAATAAATGGAATTATGGTTCAAAGATCTGACTTAATCCCAAGGCTCTTGCACTGTGCAGTAAGTAGGAAAGAAAGAGGATTGCTCGGATGAGCAGGGGTTAGCAGGATCAGTGGCCGTTTTATATCATTTGCCTCATTTTCCTTCTGGTATTTAATATACCTTTTGAGAACTTGCACTGACAATTTGTGAAAAGTCAAAGTAGCGTCACACTTATTACCTAACGGCAAACAAACTATTAATTGGAACTAATGAAGGATGGTACAGAGAGTTTCCATCCAGCTTTCCTGCTAGGAAAATTTGACAATTGTAAAACAAACAAAAATGCCATTTTTCCAGATGTATTTTATCATACAGTCACGTCGTCGTCTTCTTTTTCTGAAGTTCATTTCAGGACTTTTCTCAAATCCATTTTATTTGTTATAACTACTTGTTCTTTTTCTACTTTTTTCTTTTTTAATTGTTTTGAATTCTGAATTGGCATTTCAATGATCTGAGGAAAGATTTTTACAAAATAACTGTGCCATTTGTATTTATTGTATCTCTAAGACCAACATTTCTGCACCCTGCTGCCACTGTAAGCCCGAGGTGAAACAAACAGCCCGCGAGGAGAAAGTAGAGCAATATTTTAAACTTTTGCCACTGAAAATGATCCGAAGTAACATCTAGGTTAAAAAAGACATTTTTTTTTTTTTTCCCCCTGATGAAGATGATGCATGAAACTTTTCAGCCAGCTCCAGGTGGAAACAGCCTACTTTTTCTTTTTAGATTCAAATTTAAACTAGTTTCTGTTCACAAGTTTTAAAGGAACACACACCATTTAATTCTTCAGCATGACATTTGAGTCTCATTCCCTGCCAGGTAGCCTCCCTGTTGCTGAAAAGATGAGACTAATTTTTTTTTTTTTGAAAAGGCTTCAAATGTTCCCTTGCTACCACTTTGAGTAAAGTGAGGTCATTGTAACTCCTCTGCTTTGTGTTTCACCTTTCTGTTTGAGTGGCACTTTCTGTAGCTGTACAGATGCAGAGAAAAATATTTAAACACAAGCAAAAGATAAAGTCTAAACTCCAAATTATCACTATGTGGATTACATAGTCTACATGGGCTCTTCACATACAGGTTATGTGAAAAGGAGATTATTTTGTAGATGATTTTGAGAACCACCAGGCTGTCAATATCTCCCTAGGATCATGCTGAACCATCCCCACGTGTCAGTATAACTGCAAAACACGCTGCTTTTGCAGAAACTGCTTTACACACAGCTGTGAAATGTGGGCAAATCTCTGAATATTTTTCTTATTTTTTCTATGTAAAAATCAAAAAGATTTTTGTGTTGTTTTATATTGTTTTGTGACTGGGAGCAGACCTCAATTTCACAGAACAAATATATTATTAAAATATTCCCCACATTTCTCCCTATCTTCCTCGAGCCATTCCAACTAAAAGCTTTTGTAAGCATGTGGGGGCAGCACTGACCTTTCCATTCTGTCTATGTGATGGCTAGCAAAACAAATCCCTGGTCGGGAAGGACCTGATCTGGTTGGAGTTGTCTCAAGAAGTTCTCAGCAGCTCTGCCCTGTGCCCCGAGCCACCATCTCTGCTCCCACAGGCACCTGGGGGCTGTCACTGGGTTCACTGGAAGACACAAGGGCTCAGGTACTGTCCCAGTGGCCTAAGAGGTGGGTGGTGCTGAGGTCCTGTGCCTGGGAGCACTTTTGCATGGCTCAGTGTCCTCTCCATGTGGTTCAGCATCCTCTGTGCACTGCAGCAGGGATGTGGCTCTGCAGAGGCACTGGTGGGTATTTAATGGCATGGCCGTGGCATGTCCAGCCCCACAACATCCCTCATTTTTGGGATTGCTGCTCACCCAGCCCCACAACACACAGATTTGTTCGAGTTTGCTTTTGAATGGTTTTGGTCCCCAAAACATCTCCTGTGGATGGGCTCAGCAGTGGCAGCACAATGAGGCCTGGGGGGCTGTGCTGCTACCAAAATGGGGGACAGGAGGGCTGCTGTGTTGCAAAACCATGTCTATCGAGGGTGAGAGTGCAGAGTTAGCTGCCCACCATGTAAAAGAGAGAGGAAAACATGTTGTTGCATCTGTGCGATGGGGCATTGCAAGGCAGCCCATGGGCAGGCAAGAGTCAGGCCTGTGTCATTCTCTATTCCTAGGAGCCAAACACTGCCGTCCAGCACACAATTTTTTTTTTTCTTATTCTTATTTGTTTTTCTCAGCCACGTGCTCCTCCATTGCAGCATGAAGACGTGGAGGCAGCAACAGTGCAAGGCACAGCCACCAGCCGGGGCCGCCATCCTGTGCGGTGCTCAGCGCCCGCTCCGAGCCTGTGCCCGCTGCTGCCATCGGCGCCGGGGGAATTGAGGGCATTTCACAGCTTTCAGGCACAGGAACAAATTGTAAACCCTGGTGTTGCATCCATGTGCGAACACACACACACACACACACACACACACACACACACAGAGCCACCAGCAGCTGATGCTTCACACTAATCACTCTTATAAATGCCTCTAATTAGACTCATAAATACCTCTAACTTTCCTACAGGGAACAAAATGCCCAACAGGCTTAATGTAAACTAAGGGAAAAAAAGGAGTTAAAAAGATGAGTAAAAGCTATTTTTAAACCTGGCAAGTCCTAGAGCAGCACTCTTGAAAATCCAACCAGTGCTACAGAAATCCTAAATTGCAGTGCCCTGCACCCCCCGGAGCCGCAGCATGGGCAGATTGGGGGTGAGCAGCCGGGGGAGGGGCTGCAGCCCTCAGCCTTTGTAGCCGAGGGCGAAACATTGGGATCCTGCAGAGAGGGAACACAGAAACCCTCAAGGCAGAGAGAAATAGGCCCAGACAAAAGCCCGTTACATGGTTGCAAATCACCCCACTGCTGTTATTTTATTTACCGCTGTCCGCAGGAGGATTGTTTTCTCTCGCGAAAATTTAAGCTTTCCTTTTTCTTTTCCTTTTTTTTTTTTTTTTTTTTTTTTTTTTCCTTTCTCCTCAGGCAGTGCCTGCTGATCCCACAGTGTGAAGCCTGTGCCCACCCCAGTGCCCACTGCCCGGGGCTGTGCTGGGGGAACCCCAAACCCCTTCCTGGGAGGGGGCTTTGGGTGGATGAGGGCATGGTGCTTGCCAGCTGCACAGGTGCTCAGCCTGATCTAATGCCAGGATTTTATATATTATTGTTTTATCTTTATTTATTTATTTTTTGGGGGGAGGGTGTAAGGAAAATGAGCAAAGGACCCTGGAGCATCACATCCATGTCTGGGGTGTTAGTATGGGAAATACATTCCTCTTTCAGCGCGGTGCTGTGGGGGTGCACTCATCTCCCCAGTCTCTTGAGCATGTTCCAGTTTGGGGCTACTGGAGTTCAACCATCTCCAGCAAAAACGACCCATAGACTTTTGTGCTTTGAAAGATGCTGTGATAAGGGCTGGAATTTGATGACGGTTCCCCCACCTTCAACTTTAGCATCAATGAAACCCCTTTTGGACATTATTCACCAGGCACATAAAAGCATCATCAGAGTAAACCAGGAAGGAGGAAAGACCGAGCTGCCCCTTGTCCCTGTGGGATCGAAGCAGCTCCCATCCTTCCTGTAAATACGTTTTTGTGGTAGTGGCTGCAGCAGACAGGCTGTGGGGGCACAGGGGACATGGGGGAGATGTCGGCCAGATCCAGGGGCCACAGTCTGTGCTCTTCCCTCATCTGCCAGCACCTCAGAGGCACTTTGGAGGTGCTTGGACAGGTAATTAGTGTCCAAGCCAGTACACAGGAAACAATCCTGGTCATCCCGCCCAGCACACGCAATGAGTTGCAGGCTTGATTTTCGACGGCTGATTTACCCTGAACAAAGGCTCCAAACAGCACTGAGCACCCAACTTAGGGATGGAAACTTTAGAGCCAATGGGCTCTTTTCCCATCAGTTTAAAATAGTGTTATTTTTTTCTGAGCTGATAACATTTTAAACATTTTGCGAGACAGTTTTCTTGGAAGGCAGAGAAACCCATGTATTTACTATAAAAGAAACTTCTGTGGATAAGGAAAGCCATCCTGTGAATTCACCTGTTGCCAGCCAAGGAGAAATGTTTGGTGTTTTATTTCAATCAAGAATTCGCTGCGTATCTGTTGCTTTATCTAACCTCACTCTTTGGAAGATTTGATGTCACGCTTGGCGGAGCTCTCAGATCCAAGCTGCTTTATGGTGCCGCGCTCTGCTAAAACTTTTCATGTTTTGGACTGGCATTATTATAGGAATAAAAATAAAACCTATGAATCCTCACAGAACGGGCAAGGTGCATTTCATGTGGCCCAAATTTGTCTTGAATTTTAAATCAGGCATTTGTGCAGGCAAATTGAATAAAACAGCAACACTTTTCTATAAGGAAGGTCTTAGCAATGCACAGCACATCTCTGCCTGTCAGATGAGCAATTCTGGCCTCAACCAACACTGCACCATCTGTACCCAGCACCTCCTCCTCTGTGGGTGCAGAAACCCAACAAACCCAGAGTTACCAGTCCCCAGCTGAGGAAATTTGCTGTGGCCCCACTGGCATAAACCTTTGTCACCTCCCCCCCACCCCATTGGATAAACTCCATCAGCTCCATGCAGCTATCCCGAAGCCTGAGCAATGCCACTACATCCAGTGACGTGATGGGCTGTGCCACTTGCTGTGCACGAGAGTACCTCTGCCTCACGTCCCCATTTTTATCATGCCTTATCTACTGGCTTTACTTTTCTTTATTTGTATTTATACAAAGACAGCACTACCCTGTAGCAGCAGGCTGATGAGGAGTGCTAGCTGCTCAGAACCTGTGTAACACCGCTGACTTCATGGACCAACATCTGCAGCTATTTTGGTTTAAACCGCTTTCTTCAGCCCACCTCATTTATGGAAGCTACTCTTAAGTAGGGTAGGATGCTGAAATATGCCTCCATGTTCCAACCATTTTAGTCCATATTTTTTTTCATGTAAATCTGCTTTTGGCAAATATGGGTGTTTGGGGCACCATTTGGGGCTGCCTTTCATCTCAGGTGGCGGCAGTTGCCAATGAATTTGCAACATCAGCCAGCTGGGGACATAACCTCTAATGTTATCACAATTCGAGTCACCCTAGCTGTCTGTCACGGCACAGAGATTACCCATAGACAACATGAATTTAGGATTACTGAGATTCATTGGTCACTACGAGGTATGATCCTGTTACAACCTCTAATTATGGGTGCAAGCATTTTGTGCACAAGGCATAGCATCTTGCTCTTCTGGTTTTGAATGCTGGGGCCTCACTGTTCAGTGCATCAGCCAAGGCCACAGATAGGAAACCTTTTCTGCAGTGAAGACCCTGCTTGACTTGACTCAATGGGGTCGCAGCTGTGGCTCTCATTAGCGTATAAGTTTAGCCAGCTGCTTTCTTACAACCTTTTGGTGGGGGTCTGGTTGGTGCCTAAGAGTTACTGCTTCCTCTCTAGGTAAGAATTTTTAATTTTTTCATTATTTGTATTTTTTAATACTTTCAGATATGTTTTTATTTCTTTTTTTTTCCCTTAAAGAATGGGAAAAATATATCTGTTCTAGGAGAAGGATGAGTATGTAATGAGGTCTGTTCATGTAATGAGGTCTGTTCTGTGGGAGAAGGTTGGTTTGTTTGTTTAACGTTGCTGTAAGTGTACTGTGTGATTAAACTGTGAATGTGCTTAAATCTGCTAGTGTTTTTCTTGAAACAATTGAGTTTGATGTGGTAAGTTCATGCTGAAGTTGGAAACAATTAATGCCTTTAGTTGCAAATGAATCCAAAGTTAATTCTACGCTCAGAAAACATGTATTCTTCATCTGGGACAACAGTGGTGTGTTGTAACTGTAAGTGGAATGAAACAAAAATTGCTGTTTTGGTAATAGATACCTTCTTAACCAACGTACTACATCCCACTGAGCACAGAGAAGTGCAGTGGTGGCCTGCATTGGCACTGAAATGGTTTTAGGAGTCCTAGGGATATTCTGAAAAAGGAGTAAATTAATTTTGTAAAATCAAGGAAAGAAGTAGGGGATTGTGCTTTGGTCCTTTGTGACAGTGAAACCTCTGAGTACCAGGTGCTGGGAAGGTATATTGCAAGTGGTGGTCATGCTAACCATCAGAAATCCCAGTATCTGGGTTCTCCAGAATTCCAATGTGTTAATGACTCTCTTGGAGTGTTTGTTGAGTGGCTTGTGCAATCAGAGGATGTTTCCAAGCATTGTCTTTCTGTCTGTGGTTTAGAGACGTGTTTCACGTATTTGTGCCTCAGAAAGAGCAGTAGCGGTGGGAACGTGAGTTTTAAACCCTCTCTGAGTGCATGTGAAGTTCCCAGCAGTGTCTAGAGGCTCTGCTCTGGCCTCTGCAGGGCTCAGCATGGATGTGCTGTGGGCATGCAGCAGTGTCACTCTCCTCCCTGGACTACGTCCTTCCCTGGTAGCGGGGCTGGGCTTTGCTGGAGATGCTGGGTGTGTGAGAGACCAACGGCCAGAAAGCCAAGTCACCTTTCCCTCCCCAAAGGAGGGGTGTGTGGTGGTGACAGTGGGGGGGGGAGGGATGAAGCCAACTTATTTTCCTGGCTCTCATCAGAGTGCTTTTTGCATCACTCTGGGCAGGGATCCGGGCAGCCCCACAAGTCCATGAGTTACCTATGTGGCTTCTCACCACATCAAAACCTGCCCCTGGTGGAGGATGGATAGACATGCTTATTGGTGGCTGACCGGGGTCACATCACAGCATTGCTCTCCTCTGTAATGCTCAGAGCTGAGCTTCAGTTGTGGGGTTTGTGTGCAGAAAATGGAGGTGCTTGAGTGGATGCCTAGAGCCTGTTGGGTGTCTGTAAGCAGGTACAGGGAGAGCCATTGCCGTGTGAATTCTTTCGTGGTTCAGAGTTGACCATGGGGAGACTTTTCTTCAAGTGTACCACTAATTTAATCCAATCACCTTCTGTCCCCTCATATCACACTTTTTTTTTTTTCTTCTTAATAAGACCATGTCAAATATGGTTGTCATTCTTTTCTAGCAACAAGGAAGAAACTAAAGAAGAAGAGTCAAGTGCTGTGTACAAACTGTTTTGGCTCTTCATCTGTGCATAACTTATCCTTATTACCTTCTGTAATGACTTTAATAATGACTAATGTGATGCTATAACAAAACACAGTTATTACTGTGCTGAGAGTTCAGGAAATAAATTACAAAAACACTTAACTCACAGGAAGGTTTTAAATATCTTGCTGAAAGCTGCCAGACCCAGGCTCCCAGATCTCTCTCTGCAGAGCAGACGTTAGCTTTGGACGTACCTTTAAAGACTTTAAACAGCTTGAGGCTTGTAGTTTGCCACAGGAGCTTAGAGCAAATTCATGTTTCTAGGTTTTAAACCCTGAGCTGGAGTACAAGAGCCCTGCACAGGAAGGTAAGGAAAGGTGTAACAAGGTCATTTTGAACCACATATATTCAGGTTGTACCTTTAAAGTCAATTCTAAATTTAATTGAAAGCTGAGGGCAAGGGAGGCAGGGTGGCAGCGAGGTGCTGATTTATTTTGAAGTGTGTCGGGAGCCGTGCCATTGAATGCTCAATGAGCCATGATCTGAATAAAATGGCACTGGGCGAGTCAGTGGGAAGGTAGCTCGTGCTAGAAGAAGGAGCTCAGCTGGGGACTGTGAGCGCCAGTGCACACGTGTGCGGCCTTTCCTCAGGTTCTGGTGCTCTCAGGTTGACAGCAGCATGTGAGCATGTAGAAGGTGGCAACCAAGTTGTGTGTTTCACCAAAACTTCCACCAGAAGATTTTGCAGGGATTTTTGTTGCGCTGGAGAAATGATGTATGAACAGAAATTGACCAGATATAAGTATTTTAAATGGAACCGAAGAAGGTGATAATTTCACTAAATTTATGCTCAGTTTGAGCAATAGATTTTCTTTTCCCCCTGTTTTTTTTAAGGTGCTCAAGAGATCCACTAGTAAAGGAGATGATGTGCACTCTGTGCAAATGGAGACTGACTAGATGCAGAGCCTTGTCCTGCCTCACCTGGCAGGTGAGGGATATGTTGGAGGAGTTGTTCTTACTACAAGTAGACTGAAGTTGCCTTCTCTAGTCTACAGTTTCTGAAAAGGCTTCCTAAGTCCAGTTTGGTCCTTCTCACCTCGTGATTTACGGAGCATAAAACTAGTCCTTCCATCTACATTCATTCACTCCAGTCTATCGAAGAGAAGACTTATTTGGGCTATCAGTTGTGTTGACTACTTGTACCATATCTAGACCCAATACTGTCTGAAGGCAAACTGTTTTTTACTCTTGTGGGTGTTATAACTTGTGCAGAACATGACACCTGTGTTTTCTTGTTGTGCATTGAGCTGTATGGAGCAGGGAAGACTTATCTGTTCATGCCAAGCTCAACCAAGTAAAGAACATGCATCCAGGTCTCAATGTTTTACGGTCACATACAGGCAAATTTTTATGTTAACAGCTCAGTTCATGTTTCTAGGCCTCCTTCCTCTAACTGATGCATGGCAGGGGAGTGGGTGGGATGGGGAGAAACTGATTTCTTTCTCCTTTTTTTTTTTTTTTTTGGGTTTGGTAATATGGTGTTAGTCCACTGTGTCATCTCTGTTTATTCCATCTGGTGAAATGGTCCAACTACAAGGAAATAATAATAATAAAAACACAATCAAAACTGTGACAGGGATCAAAAGCTATTCCACACTCTCTTCTTATAGAATTGAAATATATTTTTTTTCTATTAAAAAAAAAATATTGGTCTGACTAATTAAACTTATTCCACAAGTAATGTTTTTGGGTTTGCCAATTAATGAAACATCACCAGTTAAGGTTATGCTAGTCATCTAAAGTTGCCTGCATGTGATTTATACATAGGAGATGGGATGTCTCTCTCTTCATTATTTGTAAGAATTTTTTGGTAATAAATTCTGTGATCACTCCTTTGGTTTCCTTGTCTCTAATACTTCCAAGTTAATTAATATTTTGAGTCTTCTTTCTCTTTAACTACCAAATGGGGTTGCAATCATAAGCACATTTTTAAACCTCTTAGTACTGAAAGGAAGACCTAAATAACTTCTAAATCTGTAAGACAATGTTGAGAAATGTACTTGCTTTAAATTTAATCCATCACTCTGTGCCAGCAACACATATAGCTGAAAGGTCAGAGAATCATTGAGAGGGAGAAAAACAATTAATTTGGTATCAAAAAGGTAATAGGATAAGGCCTTGCCAACCCTCTTCTATTGTTCTGCCGCATTAACTTCAGCAGGTCAGATGCCACTGGTCATTGACCTCAGGCTAAACAGGGTCAGCCCAGGCTGATTACAAAAGAGATGTGTTTGCACTTACCCAAGTGTGTCTTAAAAAAACTGAACCCACATCTGTGTTGTTCCTGGGGAGAAACACAAAGGATAAACATTTTTCAATGCAAATATCACTCGCAGAAGATTCTGCATGAGGAATGGTGTCTCCCATCTCCATGTGGCCCCTGTGCCTGGGTCCTTCTGACCGCTGTGATGCATTGCAACCCCAGACCCATTGGTAGGTGCATGCCAAAGAACTCATGATGCACTGGGAAAATATGCTGTGAAAGGAACTGGAAGAAAACAATTGTATGCTTTTTTTCTGAACTTTGCTGCCATGCATGATTTCAGTAGGAGGTCTACTCTAAGAGGTGCTGCTGATGTTAGGAAAACAGATGTCAGTGGGTTAAATAATTCTCTCCTAGGGGCTGGAGGGGAGAGGAACACCCCAAAACTCTCTATCCCTGCAATTCTGTGTGGTTGGGGTTGGCTTATTATTATTTTTTAATATGCAAGCCTTTAGTAAAGCTCATCCCACTGTAGTGGGTCAGATCTTGGTGTCAACCTGTCTTAGCTTCACCTGCCTAAGCCTTTGACATCTTGCTCTGTGCTCTAGCTGGGGTGAGAGGTGCTCATTCCACTTCTGTGTCGGTTCCCTGGGTGTCACGGTGCTCTGCTATATTGCCCCAAAGGTTGGTTTTCTGGTATAGTTCTGGGTGGCTAAGGGCAGGGTGAGGATACTGTGTTGTATATCTCCTTGCAGCAGCTTCTGGTGCTTTTGGTCAACTTCAGCCAAAGCTTACAGACTGATAAAGACCTACAAGCTTCCACAAGATTTGTAACAGCAGAGTGTAGGGCAGAGAGACTCTCGAAGTCTCCTAATCGGAGAGGAGGAAAGATTCATAATGTCAGCTTGATTTTAATAGTAAGGAAACCATATATAGAAGAGACTGTAGCTCAGTCACAGACATGGTTATAGAGAAGACAAACTAAAACAAGATGTAAATTTTTGGAGACCTGGCTTCTGTAGCTTTTCAGTTTTCTAAAGCTAGCTTACACCCTAACTGGATGGAAGTATCTTATTTTTGTACCTTATGTCAGGCTGCCCCATCCAAGACATCCAGCTTGCAGCTCTGGAGTTCAGATGATTTTAATAATT